TCATTTGGGACGAAGACGTGGTGGGAAGTACATAGCACATGATACCAAACAATCAGTAAAAAGAGAATATGCTCAACCTCAAGCTGGTTTCCATGCTTCTACTCATCGTCATTCAGCATCGCGCTTATGCGCGCCGTCTGCCGGCTCGTCACAACTCACCGTGAAACTGCGCTTCCCTTCGCGAGTGCCGGAGCCCCTCGTTGACGGCGTCGAGATGTTCGAACGCAGGCGCATCTTCCCCAAGCCCCCACGCAAACACGCCGCCGAGACGCCGCTGGTCGACAATCAGCGGGAACTTGCGCAGGATGGCGTCCCGATCATCAAAGGTCCACCAGCGAGCCTCGCCCTCGTCCCAGTAGTAGTACCCGCCGTCCTTCTCATCGTATTTGCCCTCGCTCTTCGCTCTCTCGAAAGACGAGGCCTCGCCCTCCGGAATGGGATCATGCCAGCTGAACCCGCCGGTTCGGCCGAGGTCAGCGCCCGTCTCCGGATCCTCGAGTAGCAGCGTGGGGCATCCAACCGTGTTCTCAGGGTCCGGACACGGCGTTGTCTTGAACCATTTCACGTAGAAGGCGAATCCCAGGTTGAGCTTTTCGGCCGGCGCACCGCGGGCAATGTATGCGTCAATGGCGGCCAACGACAGCCTGACTCCAGTGTGGTGTTTCGTAATGGTGTCTCGGCGGTTCATCAGGTCATACGTCATGACGTTGATAAAGTCCAGCAGCTCCGCGATGCGGGGTGTCGTCGTGGGTGTGAAGGCCATGAGGTCACGCTCGAGTCCCGGTACGGCCGCAGAGATGAGCTGCTGTGTGCCGAGGGCGCTGCGAAGTTCTTCCAGCAGGAGAGGGAAGGCTTCGATCTGCCATTCCTTCTCCGAGTTGGGCACCTGCTTGTAGTCTTCGCCGTTGCCGCTGCCGACTGTCAGTATAAGGCATGATGGAACACATTCAGCTCCGAGGACAGACCCTGGATACTCCCAATCAACATCGACGCCTGTGAAGTGTTAGCCGAGCGCGTCATGTATTTCCATGAAGAACTCAGGAACCCCACCGTCTGCACCGGTTGCCTCAACCATGGCAGCCACGTTGCGAGCCCAGCGCTTCCTGGACCGCTCATCAATCGCCGCCTCTTCAAAGCCGGCCGTGTCACCCCACCCGCCTATGGCGACCATGATCTTGGTGCCTGGGAGGAACTGAGACCGTGCCTTGTCGACAGTAGTAAAGAGCGGCCACTCGCTTGGTACGTCTTCGGCATTGAAGACTTCAGAGCGCATAAAGGCCAATGCAACATGCGTGACTTCAGTCAGCAGATCCTTGCTGGGGACGACATCGTGTTGACTGAGCGGTAGAAGTGAGCACATAATTTCAACGAAATCAAGCCATGTCTAGTTGACAGGTGTGACACATACCCAGTCAAATACATGATGCAGCGCTCTGGCGAATGGGATGTGCTAGCTGCAGCCATGATGAACAGCTGAAGACCTACGAGGATGAGTCGCAATGGGCCCATTGTGTTGTGTCGATGTAAGTTGATTCGAATATTTTGGTTTGAAAACAAGAGGAACATACGAAGTGTACCGCCGATGTAAGAGCTTCACGTTTTCAGGCTTCCCACCTTCTTTCGACGGCGGCAGCCACCCGTTCGTCGTAAGGGTCTGGACCCCGCATCGTCACTGCCGTCATTGCTACTACCTGCCTTCCGTAGCGTGGCGGCCGCTGCGGGGTAGCGCCAGACCGTTCGGTGTCGGGTTCGGCCAAGCCACCCTTCCGGTGCTGTGGCCGGTGAGAAAGCGGGTCGATTGCTTATCTTATCCACACCGAAATTTGTTCAACCGATCCGAAGCTTGTACTCTTAAAAAGTTCCCATCCTTCCATCTCATTGGGAAGGCCACCCCCCCTGAAGGGGGGGTTCCAGCAAAATCCTCCCTCCTCGGATTCAAACCACTTTAAGTGGGGGCCCCCCCCT